TAGTTGCTGCTTGTTTCATAAAATGATATTTTATTAATATAATTAAATAACTATAGGTCCCTGGATGTTTTAATTTTTATGGGATAATTATTGAAAAATAATTGAGAATTAATTTTTTCATATAATCTTTTCATACAATCTTACATAATTTTTTTCCAATTATGGGCTTTAAAGTACATAAGGTAGACAACCTATCTGGTCTTCGTTTTCGGGCTGTTTTGCATATGTAAGCCAACCTGGGCCTTTACAAAATGTAACCCACTTCCAAAATGCTAAACCTATTTCCGGCCATAGAAGATTCAAGTGTTAAGAAGAGAGGGAGCAAATCCAAAAACAGAGCCATGACGAGGTTTGTACGATTTCACATTTGTCATTTTTGGGATTGTCGTAGGTGGATCTCACAATGGATCTCACATTCTTCCTTTTTTTAGGATTTTGATATCACATATGTGCTTCTTCTTTTTTTTTTTTTGCCAACAAAGAAATTAATTTTTTATTAAAGAGATACAAAAGGTACCTTAATCCCATTATAAAACTACTTTAAGAAAGGAGTTAACATTTGATTAGTGTACAACATAATGGCCATACACATAAACCTATAGACAACATGGTTCCCTGCCATTCTGTTTTGCAAAAATAAAACCTTCGTAGAGGGTGGTTCTTACAAGCTTCCATAGGATTATTGTACCAACTCACTTGAGACAAGTCCAGCAACAATTTTGCTTTGATCCATGAAAAAAAACAGAATGTAATTTGATCTATAACCTGTTCAAGGTTCTTGGACTCTTTGAATATCAAACTATTCCACTGTAGCCAAATATACCACACTGTGTTGAACCATATTGCTGTCCATGCCTCTCTGGTGATTCCTGTGCTAGCAAGGCCCATATGCCCTTTTTTTTTTTTTTTGATCAGCAAACAAGGCCCATATGCTGAGACAAGTGTTTCCATCCACCCTCCTGTACCGCCACCTTAATGCCCCCACCAATTATGGCAAGAACTCCAAACTTTCCATAAAACTATACAGGAAAAAGGAATATGTTCCGAAGTCTCTGTTTTCTCCTACACATAATACATTTTGCTACATCAAACTCCGCAATCAGTCCTCTTTTCAGCAAATTTTCTTTACTCGTAATCCTGTTTTGTAAAGCTTTCCATACAAATGCAAAAATCTTCAAAGATAATTTGCTGTCCCAGAGCAACTTGTATTGAGTATCCATCCTTCTATCTTGAACCTGGTTGATGATTTTATAAGCTGAACCCATTGTGTATCTGCCTTTCGAATCATGCTTGCACATCCAGTGATCCTGCTTTCCTTGTTTTAGTTGCATTCCGCTTAGCATTGAGATAAGCTCCTGTAACAAGTTAGTTTCATATACAAAAAGACTTCTTCTCGATCTCCAATTCCAATTCCATTCCCCATAATTCCACCCTACCTATTTCTGTGATCAAAGCATCTTTATCCCTTGGTAAACTAAATAATCCATAAAACTTCTCCTTTAGAGGCCTATCTCTCACCCATACCTCATGCCATATATGTGCTTAGTTTTGGTTGTTTGAAAGGTTTGAATGTTGGCCGTCTTGCAGGCAAATTCCCCTCTAGGATCTCTGATTCGCTGGCTTGTGGGTTAAAGATTTCAATGTTGCCATGTTGGTGTCTATATTGGTTACAGGCAAAAACCCATAAGTTGCCTTTGAACTTATAAAGTTTGAGGGGTTTTGCCTCTCACCTCACAATTATAAGAATACACCCTTGAACTACTCGATTTGATGAAATGTGGCAACATTTAACGATTAGAGTCAAATGTTGCATGTGAAATGTTTGTTCTCCATTAGCTATTGACACGTTGGTGTTAGATGAGACCAAATTACAAAGCTGGCATTGTCAACATGGTTCATGGTCAACTCTGTGTCTGTGTAGGCCTGCTCTGCCTCTAATGGCCCAACCTTTTTTTTGTTTAAACAACATTATTAATTGAAGTAAATTGAGGAAATGGAGCAAGTTGATTGGCCAAATGAAAAGTTAATTAATTAATTGTATTTAAAAATGAGAAAAGTATTTTTTAATACAAATTGTACTTTCTTATACAATTTAGACATATATAATTATCAAAATACTCTTTTTTAATAAAATGTGAATCTTCTTTATCCAATAATACAATTGAGTACAATCAAAGTCGCAAAATGTGCTGCTACAATCTAAAATACAATGAAAAAAATTGTTGAAACAATCAACTCGTCACAATTTTCTCAAGCCCCCATTGCTGCGCAATAACTAAAGACAGGGAGGATGCCAGGATGGCATCCCGCAAGCTAACTCCATATTAAATATCAACAATTAAAGCTGTCTAACTCTTGAAAAACTTACTTAGAATTCTTCTATTTCTCTCCATCCACATGTGAGTGATAGAAATTATTATCAAAATATTATTAATGGATAAAAATGAAGAACAATTTTATTAAAGATATTTTAATAATTTTAGTACTCAAACTATATATATATAAAGTATAATCCTTATTGAGAAACACTATTATGTTTAAAGATTATATAAAAAAAATCATAATTAAGGAACAGAAAACTAGAAACGAAATGAAAATGAAAAAAAGATGCAAATCTGCAACAATCTGCGACCCAGATTTCTGTGACAGCAATGTAGAACCAGAAAACCCAGCCAACAAATATCTGTATCTTTCTATCTTCGCATAGTTTTTCTAATTTGCTCAAGCGCAAATTGAAAGTTTCAAAATCAAACATAAAGATATGGAGAGAGGTTTGAGAAAGGAACAATTATTCTCGGATCAAAAGAAAGATAAAAATGGTTTTCTCTTCCTTAACAAGTACTTGATTGCTCGGTGCAAGTGTTAGAAAAGACTTGCACTTTCCCCTTTCAAATACATTGCCCTAAAAGAAACTGAAAATGCTTGCTCTTTCCCCTACAAAAATTCTACTCTCAAGTCTCATTATATTGAAAGTTGAAGAATAGAGCCTCCATTGCATCTCCTAATATTGCATGTACATCATATAAATTGAAATTAATTAATTAACTAATTAAATGGGGATAGATCCTTGAAAACATCATGTTCAAATATTGTTGTCAGCATTATTTTTTTGAAACGATTGTTTGTCAGCATTATTAATTATATAAAACATGGCATTGTAACTATATAATTTTAGTTATCCCTATGCCATGCATCCCACTCTCACCGTGAACAGAATATGAACTGAAATGAAAATATGCAAGCGAATGGTACAAATCTTTTTGAATTATTTGGTCAAAAGATTAACTATAATATCATGTTAACAGAAACAACAAACAAGGAGGTTTGTTTAATTCTCTAACATTCTTCTACAGATTGCCTGATATAATATTCAGATTTCTGCGAATTAATTCCCCAACTCATAATTTAATCATTACTGAACTTGGATATTCATGATCAATTTTTTAATTTACCTGGTGCTTTTCTCTTGAAGATTTGTGCTGCAATGTGTATGAGTTTAAATGTTATTGAGCAGCATGGAAGGATTTTTGTAGATTAGATGTCATAGAAATGGAGAAGATGGGACGGTTGGAGAAAGGTCTTAGGTTAAGAGGAAGATGGAAGCAATGTGAATTTCTAAATGGACGAATGGTTGGAGATGGAAGTGTAGCTAACAAATTTCCAAGACTTCTTTGGCTATCTGCAGGGAAAGACAAGAAGATGAATCAAATGGGGACGTGGGACAATGGAGAATATGTGTATGGAATTCTCGGTTAGGTATAATCTCTTTAAAACTGCAATCATGGTAATGGTTGGCAACTTTGGGTAATCTGCATTATTTCTTTGGCAGTCAGCCTACTGTGTATCGAGAACCACAATTGGACATAAAGAAACTTAGGGATCCAGAGGAATTTTTTGAAAGACATTATTATGAACTGACCCCATTTCATGTTTGCCATGCAGCTGCACAGGAACGGACAGGTGCTGTTTTTATGGATTGGGATCTGAACAATCCATCCATGAGTGAACGATCGACCTCGTCAGCTGTGGAAAGTAATAGCAAGCCCACCGGTTGAGCTCCCACGAGCTGGAGAACGAGTCCTCTATTTTCCGTAAGGACACATGGAACAAGGGAATGTTTGTGTTTAAATTGAAATTTCTATCTTTAGATGTGGTAAATTATTCCATTTATTTATGGGAATGATTCTCGTGTTTGGAATTGGGGATTCAATATTCAAATATGGGCATTCTGGTTGGGATTGTATTCTAGTTGGTGGCGTCCATGAATAAAGAGATAAATAAAAGGATTCCGCTGTTCAATCTTCCATCCAAGATTCTTTGCTGCGTTATTAACATTCACTTTGCTGGTATTCTCTTTTTCTAGTTTTTATGTTATGTTTTAGTTTCTGAGGAATAAAAAACAAGAAATGTTTTTGAATCCTATGTTCTTTATTATTATTTTTTTCTTTTAGGCATTTGGTTTTGTAGATGAATGAAATGGCATTTTTGTCTACACTTTAACTGACTGAAGATATCTTTTTTCTCCATCTCCTAAATAAATTGAACCATTAAA